TAATATGACCTTATAGATATGGTGACAGCCAACCCTATGGATTTGTAAACAAACTACTCTCCCAGCGTGAAAAAGGTGTCCTACCTAGGAGAGAGCAGGGAGAACTCATGGAGGAATGGCATCCACTATAGCTTTGTTTGACCTTTAAGCAGTAAGAACTTGGCTCTTCAGGTCAGAAAAAAAAGGAACGAAGAAGAAACTTAGTGAAGGAAATTAGTTCGGTGTTTCTTGATTTCAAGCTATATTTATATTTTGACATTTCAGGATGAAAAAAGACATGACTGCTTCTGACTTTTTCCTTGGTATCCATGAAAAAAAGTGCCCGAGGCATTGCATTTGCAGTGAATCCTTCTCTATGGCAGTGAGATACAGAGGTCAGTTTTGAGTTATACCTGTTTAGTCCTAAAGGATCGTCCTATGCCTTCTTCTAGTAAAATGTGCAAATAAAGTGGCAATTTCTGCTTTTATTACCGATGAATAATCCAACCTGGTCATAGGATTAAATGCTATAGTTTAAAGAAAACATAGTTAAAATATTTACAGCTATATTCCAACTATTTAGAGTTGGAATTTGGATGCCTTCAGCATTCCATAGATGTATTATATTCAGGTCTAGAACTGAAGTGATGGCTTGTTTTACTCTGTAAAACTGAGTTCCATCCAAGAATATTCTAACCCAAGTTAGAATAAAACACCCCCAGCTTAGTACAGTACTACAGTGCAACTCAGAGGAAAAAAAAAGTTTCACACTTTTTGATGACGCAATGAAATAACACATCTTTTCTACTTCTTTTTTGTTACAATTTTATACAAAGATAAGACTGCTCTGGGAAATTATTGGATTACATTAATAAAATCTGTCTCTTGTATCCTTTCTGATCAGCAGCAACCATTTCTGGAACTGAGTGTGTGTCAATCTGCTGTCCTTCAAGGATTTTTTAGCTTCTCTTTGTATTTAAAATAACTTAAAATGAAATCAGAATAAATTCTATTTCTATTATAAATTTTCTTCATGTTTAAATACTGCCAACAGTGCAATTTGAATCAATCTATCCTAATTTAAAGCCTGGTTCTGACGGCTTTCCACAGTTTCTTATTCCAGAAGCAGCTACAGTAAAACCAACAGGAATGTATTTCAAGTTAGATCCCATTTGGTTTACATAAAGCATAATCTGACCTCTAAATATTTATTAATTTCAGCAGATTACACAATCACAATATATTTTTAAGGTGATCTAACCATGATGCTGTGTGGATTTTATGTGTTGTTTTTTTCTGGGTGGTTGTTTTTTGGTTTTGGGTTTGGGTTTTTTTTGTTTGTTTGCTTGCTTAATTAAGAAGTTGATATCACTACTTCAGAAACACATTGTATTGCTCCATTTGAAATATTTTTTCTCAGAGATGTTTTTTATAGCTACACCAACACATTTTTCTCTCTCTAGAAATGGCTTAGCATGTTAGACATATATAAAAAATTACACTTCTTAACAGAACCTGCTAGTAATGATCTTCATATTTTCCAAAATGCACAAAAGTCATGCCACTGCACTGACTAGAGCGCAAATGTTACTTTTAAATGAAGTCCTGCTAAAAACAAACCAGACGCTGATTGACAAAAGCTTATAATAACAATGTAGCACAATGAGACATTTTTGATGGCAATATAGGCAGGAACGCAGTAGAACTGCACATACCCTATGGCTAGAAGTAAATATCACAAGCTGCTCATGACAAATTTTTAATTAACATATTTTGCCTCCTCCAAATAGAGAGGATGGTGTAAATCAAAGCACCTTCTCTGACTTAAAGGGAGTACTGTCAATATGCTTCAGCTGAGGATCTGTCCTCCAGACCTGCATGTTGCACTCTGGGTTTAATAAAAGCGTTGTATGCCTTGGCAAGCAGATCTAATCACAGAGTCCAGTTTGGCTCCACAGAGGCCTGGTTTCCTTAATACACAATGGGTATACATGAATGGTTCCATTTATATACTAATGAACAACAATAATGTGGGGCTATACATGCCCAAGATGAACAGACCTACCAATGTAAAACAGGGCCTAACATCCTGAAATGTATTTATTTCACTGGAACAAAGTCAATACCCTGTGGCTAAGAACTAAGGCTTTATATCTGGACAAAGAAGCACACATAAAGCAGCACAGGCTCCCATTTAGACAACAGTTTACCCACTGTCTTATGCATGTCCCTGTCCCTTTCAGACAGTACATTCCCCAGGAAGAACATTTACCAGCTCTGTAAACCCAGCATCTCACAAGCTAAATCCTCAAAGTCCCTGCATGAAGCAGTTCACCTATAATGAAACCCTGCAGACCTACCTGCAGCGTTCATCACATGCCTTGCCTGCAGTATGGTCAAGGATCATTTACATGCAGAAGGAGAGAACTCCTCCTTCTCCATCATCAGATCTTCTTGGACCCCCACTCTGCATGTCTGACACAGAAACTCTGACTCAGAGAAGGTTGTAGCCAGCCTGCCAGGATAAGCAGAGTTGTTCTTTTGAAGCCCTTGTATCAGGCAGACCAGATGGTAATGGAAACAAAGAAACAGGCCTGGAAGTGATCAAATTCCCAGAGTTTCAGAGAATTTGGAGTCTTTAATACATGGTTTCTGTTTTAGGGAAAGTTTGAGAACGTTTGCAACAAGGACATTCTGTATTAAGTCTTGCAGGTCCATCATGCTGTCCTATCATTCGCCGTAACCTCTACTTCAGCAGAGTAAGAAGGGTGGTGATACTGTAACGGCACTGCAGACTGTACAAATATGACCAGCTCTAGACTACAGTTTTGCCAGAATAAAGAGTAATGGGTGCTTGCTAATGCCGCAATGTCAGCAAAAGAAAAGAGGGAATTAATTTAATGTAGCATCTAGGGATGTACTATACTTAGAGCAGCTTCATCCATACCTTAGGACTCTGCCAACACAGGTATGCTCTCATTTTTGTAGCATTTCAGCTGCTGTCATCTGCTAGTGTAGACGAAAGTAATCCTATGAGAATTAGCCCTGTGACACTACTGATCCATGCTAGGGGGGTTTGTTTGGTTGGTTTTTTTGTTTTTAAGCCGTGGACATTTGCGTACAACTACTAGGTTATCAGTGTTGACCACTGGTCCCATAAGGACCCACAAATACAACCTTCAAGAAGAAAACAACTGAGAAGAAGAAACTGAGCAAAGGATTTCAAATGTAATCTGTTAATCTCCCATACCCCAGGCAAATTAACTACCATCCTTGCCTTTGTTTTTCCTGTCTACTACGGGGGGTTAAAAATAGATGACTAAAATACTTAGCTCCTTAGTAAGCAGTAGAATTCAGTTTAACGTGTCCTGTAGGGCTGTGACATTAGCATGTCTAATTACATGGGCACAACATGAAATTCTAATGACACAGTATAAAATGGATCTGGAGACAGGTACCTAAACATCCATGGCTAATGAGGCTATGTTTACGCTAGCATTTTTGTTCACAGCAGGAGTGAAGTTTTCTGCCACACCACTCATCATATTTAACTTTATGTTGTGGAGCAATCTGTAAATACATGAACTGGACTCAACTGAAGATGTGCTCCAGATGTGCACCTGAAGTGCTCTGACTGACAGTGAGCGGTCCATGGGACCAAACAGAACATAGTCCAAATTAAACCCCTGATATCTGGCTAGGAACAGCTACACTAATAACATTAAGCTAATAACTTCTGGCTGCATCCTTATTTACCAAATTTCATATATTTACTCTACTCTCTCTTTCTGACACTTTTAGCACCAGCTGGTGCTTGCCTTCTCCAGCTTTCTGTATACCATCATTGATCTGACACCCATAAAAAAAATTCACCTCCTGATCTCAGTGTTACATGTTCCAAACCAAGGGAACACAGTGAAGGAGTATGAGAAAGGAGACTTCTAGGAAGTCAGAGCTCAGCTCTAACGCTGGCACCATAAGCATTTCTCATCACTGCAGGATGACAGGAGATGAACACAACAGTGCCAGGTCAGTACATTACATGAGTTGTGGTCTATATTCATCTACAAAGCCAATCTGAACAGAGAGGGGCTTGAACTAAACTAAATGCAGTCCTTGCCCCAGTAACCAGCATCTGAGATAGCAACAACATCCTGAACACATCTACATAGCAGAGTTTGGCATTTACAATATGTGATTCCGGATTTGCACAGAAAGTAGCTAGAGCAACTGGAGGGCAGTCCTCAAGACCTAAGACATCTGGCTGCATCTTCCAGAGGTTACTATAAAGAGGAACCAAAATCCTTAGGAACAATTATTCCTGCTGGAATAATTAACACCCTGAGACATGCAGCTCTCTTCTTTCCCTGAATATTTGCACAGAAAAACTAGCAATCCTACCAAATGATTCTTCAGAAAATAATTACCACACTTGCCAGGAACTTGCCTGAATTCAAGTTGTCAGTATTTGTCCTTAAGGAAGTGGCTTAGACAGACAAGGCTTTTCTGAACTAATTTAAAGGCATCAAGGCTTGTAAATGGCCTCTTAAAAGACTTCCTATGACTTCCTTTTTTTTTTTTTTAAATTTTAAAAGATTTCACAAATAGCTAAAAGAAATAGAAGGGGAAAAAAATTTTTTAAAAAAATTATTCCTGTAACTACTGCTTCTGCCTTTCCTCTTTTCATAGTATTACACTCTTACAACCTTCCATTCCAGCTTTTTCTAATTTAGGCCTTAAACTTGCAACAAGCTCCCCTTGGAGCCCTGTGGAAGACTGTGTGGTTGTACACACATGAAACGGATTGTGCAACAAGACCTTGTAGTGAGACAGTGACTCGTTTTGTGTGCGTACCATGCCCAGTGCAACCGGGTCCTAACACTGCTCCTCTCCGGGAGCAATACAATGAATAGACTAAGCATAACTCAACGAGGTGAGGGTGAAGCGATGTTGTTGTATGGGCAGTGGTGGCAACCACAGAGGTAACACCAACAGGGGGGAGGAGAGAGAACCAGGATTACCTGCTGTGCCTGCTGCAGCAGCTCCATTCGCTCGTGCAAGATCTGGCTGTCAAACTCACGGCTCTGCCTCAGGATCTGCCGCCGCACCTTCTCCACTGCAGCTCGCAAATCCTCCCTCTGGGCTTCGGTCAGCGACTCGCTTGCCCGCCTTCCTGGATCCTGCTGCAGGGCATTATACAGCGTGGCTTCCAGCTCCTGGATTTTCTAATGCAACCCAAATCACATACAGACAGGCTGCCATTTGAATCTGACAAGCAAACGACCCACCAACAGCTAGAGGAGAAAGCTAGCAATCGAAGCCTTAGGCAGGAGGGAAGGATGGACACAGACAGGTAGACAGAAAGCAGCAGTCGTGAGCAGTGAGGAGCATTCCACACAGAGTGCATGTAGCCTCCCGGCACTGACTTACACCCAGGCAATGCTTCCCATTCTAGTAAATGATTGATTTCTTCTATTTAAAAATGATTCAGATGATAGGTCTGTGTTCAATATGTAACAAAACCCTAACCTCTGACGCTCATCATTACAAAATTAATGCTAACTAACAGATTCCCTTCAACTGCAACTGAATTGTTAAGCCATCCTATAAAATAAAAAGCCCACAGGAAGAACTGTGGCCACAGACATCTTACTGTCTCCCTCTCTCTGGCCCTGCTGTCCTGCCATCCGTTGCTCAAAATCTACGTCACTGGCTTAGTTCCAAGTTGCCATAAGCAATGAAGACAGGAACACTTGTATGCTTGCATACACTAATCCCTCATCAGTCTCTTGCCATTTGCCAGATTCCTAACCAGATTCTCATGCATTGACCAAAACTGCAGTACTTTGCAAAGCAGAGAGCACAGGAGAACTTTATATTCATATGGAGAACTGTATTCCCAAGAGTAAAGAAAGAAAGGAATCATGGCAGTGTTTTGCTGATTACTGGGGTTAGTATGATCCTATTAAAAACCAGCATCCAGACTGACAATATTTGGATCAAGAGCATCTGACAACATCCCTTTAGCCCTCATAACACCTTTGTGAGGTAGGTAATTCTATCCATATTAGTGATGCATAAACAGCTGCACAGAGAGGTTAAATGGCTTGCCCAAGGTCACACTGCTAGAAATAGAGCCTGCTTGCTTTTACCTCTGTTATCTGCTCTGAGCACTAGACCTCGCTTCTTTTCTGAAAACATTTTCCCCATAAGAAATATTTACAACGTATAAATAATTCTTCAGGCCATTGTATTTTGATTCCCTGAAGTCTCACTATTAACAAAGTTGGGTGTGCAGTTTTACCAATTCCTAGCTAATTCCTAACTGTTGCTTAGCCTGCGGGAAGGCAAGGTTGCAGCTTCCCTTTTGAAAACTAGAAAAGGTAAGGTTGGATAGGACAGCACAGGAAGGAATCGTGTAGGAAGAACAGGCATTCCCAACTTGGGATAGGTTAGCAGCAGAAATATTTACAAATGCTTAGGAAAAAGCAAAATTGGAAAAGTTCTAAAGTAATTTCTGGTGTATTTTACCAGTGATAATTTTGTGCACACATAGACCAGCTCTTCCCATTCTAGATGTACTAACAAGGTGGTCACATATTTTAGAATAAAAAATGCAATGCAAAAACATTACACTTCTAAATACTATAATCCATTTCCTAAGTCTCCATTTAAGTAGTATTTGATTTCCTAGTCTGGCAGAAAAATAAATCAATTAAAAAAGAACCCTATTTATAATTAAAAGAAAAAAACCCACCTATATTTTATCAAATTCGTTCAAACATGAAAATTTAATGACTGATCTTTTCCTACCATGTATGCCTGGTCCAGAGCTTGCTTCCTGTAGTCGAGTTCTTCCTCTAAATAACCCTTCTGTTTACTGAACAGGTCCTGAGCAATAATAAAAACAAGGGAGTGATTGTTCTTTATCCTAATTCATGAAGAATCATAAATGCCATCATTTTTATGTGAGCTTTCCACTTGAAAGCAAACGACCACATTCATCCTAAGGATATTTGGAATATCAATTTTACAATATTAGCACTTAAAATACGTGTATCTCATTAACGAGTTGTACCTACAAAGTATAGACCTCTACACCAGTGTACAAACCTGCCTTGACCTGACAGAAGTGCACACAAGGGCTGAAAGGTGAATGGGAGTGTGCATGCATGTGGTCCAATAGTCATTACTTGCACAGAGTGGGCCAAGGGAGGAAAGAGAAACACAAGTGAGGGCACTTTACTGCTTCTCTGAAACTATCCAATGTGCACCCTTAAGGAAATCATGGGGAAACAATAATCTGTGTTGTCTAGCCTGTTCTTCTAGGCAGAAAGCCAGAACATGCAGGGCCCTAGCTGGGTTCTGCAGCAACATTCCCTGATGCATGACTGAAGCAGAAGTAAAAGGTCAGTTCTCAACTTGTAAAGGTAGGAAGCCAATTTGAAATGGGTAAAGTGATGCCCAGAGAGGTTAAGTGACTTTAGCTGAAGAGCTGAAGAAGTTTTCAACATACCTAGGATTTACAGGGATTTTTTGGTTTTGTTTTTAAAATCAAACTCACCAACTTTCACAGAAGCAAAACCTTGCAGTTGCAACACAGGCTGGGAATTCAGTGGAACTCCGTATCCAAAAGCATGACGTTGCAGGAAAATTGTGGACATTTGAGTGGTTGCCTGAACAGTCAAGTGGGAACTGACTGGTGACAGTGCTTTTGCAAAACATGCCTTTAGAGTGTTTTGGATGATAGTAAGTAGAAGATAAAATAGTTACTTGATTTTATTAGCTTTCTTTTAAGGCAGGTTGTCATGCTCAAAAAAGAAGTAGTAGTCCAGAAAGCAGAGAGGCCCTTTGATTGAATTTAATATTTTTCATCATTCTTTTTTCTATTCAACAAACTCTTGCATTTCCTCAACATATAGAATAAAGGCCAAATTAAATATATAGGATTCTTAAGATGATTGTAGCTTTTATTAACAGTATAAAAAAAAAAAAATCAAATGTTGCTGGTCTGGTTAGTTTTATTGGATATGGGATTGCCCCAAAGTCACTTATTTGGCCAAATTTTATATTCAGACATATATGTGGATTTCCAACAGTTTTTCTGTCCGCTGTCAGTGTAGCACTGGCATTGAAATTGCCTAAGCATGAACCATGATGATGAATTCTCACTCCAAACATCTGGTTTAAAACAAATCCACTTTGATCAGCAAATTAATGCTTGGGAGGGGTTCAGACCATAAAATGACTATAGATGATCTCCCACTTGTTAAGAGCAGCTTATAATTGGTGAGAGCAGCAACACACAAGACCAGTATTAGAGGACTCAGAGGAATAAGTTGCTATTTGTTTGCTGTATAAGAACTATAATATTATTCAGGTTTTTTGTAAACTTGGAGTTCTTTTAATTGCCTATGAATTAATATTGAAAGTAGAACCAAAGTTTAAGTCAGGCTTTGATCTTGGGGCTGGAATTCAGTTACCCACAGATGGGCATCTATTGCTATTATAGCCATTTTAGGGTATGCTACTTCAGTTGCTAGTCCAGAAGGGCAGGGGTCTCCAACAGGTCCTGTAGGACATATTTCTCAGCCCTTTGTGGACATCTCCAGAACTCTGAAGAATATAATATGGCATTAGACACCATGTTTATGCAAGTGAATCCCACCTTGACTACCCACGTGGCATTATTTTCTTATGTGGATTAAAGCAACAGCTACATGGCTGTTGTAAAAGATGCAATACCAGCGTGCACTGTGTAACGCATAGTAAAGGACAGGCCTGGTCCTAATGTGCTTACAAGTGGCTGGCACCAGAGAAGTAGGCTGACTTGCCCAAGACTATACAGAGGGTCAGAGCTACCAACAGATCCCAGAATAGCAATGCAGCTGCCCTGATCATGTTACTTCTCCAAAAGCTGTTGTAAAAGTTGGCCACAAAAAGCAAGAGGGAAGAAAACAAGAACAGGATCTCAAACTCTTAACATGGGTTCCAAAGACAACTAAACCAGAGCTCAGCCCTTCTGATAATGAATATTATTTCTAAACTCATTTCACAATTGAGTCAATCACTGGCAATGCAGTCTCTCAGGTTGCTATGCTAAACAGATACAGGGCTCTCCAGAGTAAGCTTGGAGGAGCTCGCCAAGCCAGTCTCCATCATTTATCAGCGGTCCTGGTTAACAAGGGAGGTC